GGAGGGGGGGGGGAGTGGGGCTGGCAATGGCCCTCGTGTGATTGTAGGGTGTGCGGTATGGCACCACGGCTGGGCGGGTAAAGTGTTTCCAGTTTTGCGGCCGAACGTCACGTCACGCCGCGGCGGCGCTGTCGCGTTGACGGTGCAAGGCAGAGAGCGGTGAGGGGCGCGCGTGCGTTTCCCGCTCCGTCGTTCAATTAGAGCCTCGTCGACGCGTCGATCCTAATTGCGTCGCGGGCGCGGCGTTCGACCGTGCCAGGAAATCCTTTTCTTCTTGCCGAGGCGCCCGCCCTTCCTGTTTTCCATTTTCCCTCTTGCTTTATCGTGTTTTCTTCTTCGCGCGAGTGCTGTGCCGTTCGTGCCGCCCTCCCCTCCACCCCCCTCGTCCCTCGCTGCCCATCGCAAACCCCCCTTCATTTTCCCAGCCCCCCTCCCCCTTCTCTTTCAGTTGCCCACCCCGCTTGTCCGTCCGAAAGTTTTTGAGCCAAAAGCCTGCTGTTCACTTGGGCCCCGAGTTGGCGTCTCAAGGCCGTCCTGGCGCGGGGCGGCTGTGGGTACCCTGTTCCTGTTGTCTCTGGCTGCTCGACGCCGTGCTCGCCCGATTACCGGCCCGATGCCCGTCCTCCTGGCTGCCGTTGGAGGGACTAACGACCGCCGCGGCGCCGTGCGAGCGGAAGCTTCAACTTATTTGTGCCCACTGTGAAAAATATTTGGACATGATTTTACAGTAAAATGGTCCCTGAAAGGGTTCTGATTGAAAACTGTAAATGTACGAAATTATTTTGACACTTAGTATAAATACGACTTGAGATTTTACGGTGCTTCAAAATTGTCTCTCGAAATTTAGCGTCACTGAACGTGAATTACTGCATCGGTTGTCGTCGTACATTGCAAATCATTCTGTAAATAGACAAAGACGCTTTTCACAGTGCTTGCACTTTTCTCCGCTCGCCTCAGAATCGCCACGGTGGGAACTCGTTTCGTAGTTTTGCCCACGATGCACGTTTGACACCTTGTTCGGCTCGTGTCCCCGAGGTTCTGACGCGCCCCGCGCCCCTGGACGAGCCGGCCGGGCCCAGCCGCCGCGCTGGCGGCTTACCGCCGTATCTCCCGGTGGAGATTAGCGCGCCGCTCTATAGGGTACAGTAGCGGTGCATCGCAAAGGAAACGCCTGCCTGCTCCTCGCGTGAAGGAGTTAGAATCTGCGCCGCTTGATCGAGCGCGAAATGGGTTCGGCAGAAGGCGATTGGGTTCGCGCGCGCGCCCGCCTGTCGCCTCTCCTTGGCCCGCTGGCGACCCTCTTCTTGTGCCCGTGCGGCGCTGCTTGGGCTTGGCTGCCGGTGCCCCCCGGGACCGTCCTCCGGTTGCACTGGCCGCGCACCGCCTGCGTGGGCCGACGGCCGACGACGGCGTCCGCCCGGCAACAAGCGTTGCACGTGGACCTAGGAGAGGTGGTGGTAGGGAAGGGTTGGGAAGGAGGTGTGAGTACAGTAGTCTACGCGCGCTCAAAGGGGGGGGGGGCATGCTATGCGATGTTGTATATAGGAGTTCTAGGGGGCAGCGGGACTCCCCACGTGCCCGGGCCGCTGCTGCTCCCGCAGTCTAAAAGGAATGGAGAGGTTATTCCGTGCCGTGCTGCTGGCTGCTGTTCGCCTTTCGCGAATAGAGGAAAAGGGGGGGGGAAGTGGGGGGAGGGGAATCACCCGAGTGTGTGCGCGCCTGCTGCCAGAGCGCTCCCGATGAGTTTCGGTTCAGATTTGCGGCGTGTGTGTGTGTGCCCGCTTGTGCGTGTTGGCGCTTTTTCACCCGGTGACTCATCCCTCTTTCTCTCCCTCTCTCTATCGCTCTTGCCGACAGCGCCGCGACTAGAGCAGAGAGAGAGAGAGAGGGAGTGGATGAAGGGAAGATGGCAGCGCTGGATATCTATCTCTGCGTGGCGGCTTAAAGATGAGTCGTCAAGGGGCGGGGGGGATTATTGACGCCATGGGGTGGCTGGCTGGCGGGGAGGCTGATGGCCGCCACCGCGCTGGCCTGTTTACATTCGCAGTATTTTAGCCGCTGCTCCGCTCCGGTGGGCGCCGCAGGTCGCTTCGCTCTAGAGGTGTTTTCCGACGACCTTCGGCCGGTCCCGGCCGTTATCAGGCTGCGGCCTTATCAACATCGACAAGCGAACGGGAGGGGCAGGGGCGGGACGAGCAGGCGGGCAGAGAGAGAGAGAGAGAGAGAGAGAGAGAGAGAGAGAGAGAGAGAGAGAGAGAGAGATGGTGCGAATGGAAGCGAGCGAGGCGGAGTGAGTGAGTGCGAGAGTGAGACGGGAGGGAGAGGGGCCCAACGGGCCCACCTCGGCCCGTTTTGGAGTGGGGGCACTTTGTCCACCGCGCCCCGCGCCGCGCCGCACTCCGTGAATACTGGCATTCGCCTGGCGGAGCTGTGCCGAGCCGAGCCGGGCAGACCGCGTGCGCGCGTCCAGCCGAACCGAAGTGTGCCGAGCCGAGCCGAGGCTGTGATGAGCGCGTTGTTGTAGTATGCCCCTCAAGATGCTGGCGTGGAAGAAGCGAACCCCTCAGTGCCGCGAGGTGAAGGACGCGGTGCAGGACGCCGCCCAGCACGCTGGCTCCGTCACGTCGGCCACCTCGTCGGACACGTCGGACGGCGGCGCGAGCAGCGCGGGCGGCCTGGTGCGCCTCACGGACATCCTGCAGACGGGCGCCAAGCCGCCGCGCAACATGGAGGCCGTCAACATGACGGTGGACGGGCGCGGCGACTCGCGGCGCAAGCCGCTCTTCAAGGAGTGGACCCTCAAGAAGTCGACGTCCACGACGACGGCTGATGGCGACGGCGAGGTGCTGGCGGCCCCAGGCCTGCAGCCCGGCCCCAGCCAGGATGACCTGCGCCAGCTGAGCGAGATTCGCGCCGTGGAGGAGCAGTACCGGCGCGGCGGCGATCCGGCCCAGGTGACGCAGTGGCTCGCTGCCATGGCGCCCAAGCAGGCCGCGGCCGTCAAGGACTCTGCCGAGGCCGACCGCGAGCTGGCGCGGCGGCCGCTCGGCGAGCTGGCCGCCATGGAGCGGCAGCTGCAGCGCCTGGAGCAGGGCCTGCAGGGCGGCGGGCCGGCGCGGGCCGCGGGCGGGCCGGCCCAGCGGCTGCAGCAGAGCGCCCTGGTGCGGCGCGAGTCGGAGCGGGTGGGCAGCCGGCTGCAGGCGCAGGGCGGGCCCCCGGGCCCCCGCCGCCCCGTCACGCTGTCCCGGACGCACTCTGACTCCGCGCCGCCCGACGGCCCCACGCCGCGCGTGCAGCGCCGCTGGATCAACAAGAAGCCCCAGAGGGCCGCGTCGTCGTCGTCCTCGCCGCAGGCCTCGCCCGCCGTCGTGCGCCGCGTGCCCGGCCACCAAGCCTTCAACTACCACATCGAGGTAATGCGTCCTAACTGTTGTGTCCTGTTGAGCGAACTGCCGGCGCGGCCCCTACGCTCACGGCGTCGTGCCACGCCCCCTCCCGTGAATAGCAGTCATTCTCTGTGCAAGTAGCGCCCCTTGTGTTCGGTCATGTTTGTAGAAAGTTTTCAGCCTATCATCCTGGGTTAGTGGCGGTGAAATTTTCGCGCGGTCGTGTCTTTTTTTCTCGTGCTTTTTTTTTACGCTCCCGCGGATTAACAAACGCCCGGCGATGTTCGGCGCCCGCCCCGCCCCGCCTCTCCCGGACCCGAGTCTGAAGCCGGCCGACTTCCTTCCCAGTGCCCAAACGGCCGTGGGAACGAGGACGTGTCCCTCTCTCATTATTGTAGTGTTTCTCTCTCTCTTTCCTTTCCTCTCGTGAGCGAGAGAACCGACCGAACCCCGAGAGTGCAGCGGCACCGCTTCGCCTGGTTGGAGATAGTGTGTCGTGACGTCAAGGGCGCTTGCTATGGTCGGCCAGCTGCTCTTGACGGGGGAGGCGCGCGAGTCAGCTTGCGCCGCGCCGACTGTGTGAGCGGCGGATGTGAGCTGCCGGTGCCTGCCAAAAGCGCGCGCGAGAGAGAGCGATAGGCAGGCGTGTGCTATCACCTCCAAGGGCGTGGTACCGCTCCGCGGACCGCCCCTCGACGCCTGCCTCCGCCGTCTGGTTCAACGGGCCCTGCTGAGCAGGGTTGTTACAAGTCAAAGGGAAAGCAAATTCTTAACAGTGGGCGAAGTCAAAGTGGGTACTATGTGAGGGAATTTGAAAATCCCGCCCTCCCAACAACACCGTCGTTATCAGCGCTTGTTCACAGCGGTTCGATCGCCCATTCGAGAGGAGCCCGCCCAACTCGCCCCAGGGGTGAGGCCTGCATACAGGCTGTGCCCGGCGGGACGGCCAAACCCCATCCTCGATAGCCCCGAGCCTTATCACGTTCAATGACGTGAGTGGGTCGTTCCTGCGGCTGCGATATCCTATCGTTAAACACGCCCGCTGCTGAGTAGGTCCTTTAAAAGTGGCCGCAGCGGGCTGCTAAAACTATCTGGCGCACTGAACGCGTTATTGCAGCATTGTTCCGCGGTAATTTACTGTTGTGCCGAACGCTCTCTAGGTGCGGTAGAGGACGATGAAATAGCAGTCGGTCGGTGATGATCGCACCCGGCTACAGATGATCAAACATGTTCGCATTCGGTCGAACTCGGAGGAACATCGAGTTGTACGTGATCGCTCAAACACGAACATGTGGTGTTCGGACTCGAAATGTTCGAGTACTACTCGATTAGAAGTTCGTAGGCGAACAGAATTGTTCCAGACAGATGCAGTGTTATTAAGGGGGCAGTGGCAGGTTAACCAAGAACTGCAATTTACAACCCGTTTGGATCGAATTTGAACTTACATTGTTCGGTTTTGTTCGTTCGAAGTTTTTTTAGCAGATGATACCTAACAAACCTTACTTAACTGAGACTAAACATAAGTAAACATAAGTATATTTAAGTAAGGTGTCATTGCTTTTACTCTCGGTAAGGACAGAGAAGCGAGAGAAGGGCCAGCAATCTAATATATTGTGCTAGGCGGGATGGTGAGGCTGAGGCAGTGAAGTGAGGCTCGATTTCCGTCGCCGCCACGGCCGAGACGAGCCGAGTCGCAGCCAAGCTACGTCGGCCAGGCGCAGCCGAGCCGAGTCCCGAGAGCCGAGCCGAGCCCCTTCCCCCTCCACCGCTGGAGCCCCTGCCCGAGCCCCTGCTCCGCCCGGCCCCCTCCCCGCACGGCCC